GCACATGCCTTAACTAAATCCAAAATCAGGCAGTATACTTATTGAAGAAGGACTGCGTTGCAAGATTTTACATTTTATCGAAATTAATACAACTACATGTTAACAACCTAGAAAAGTCAGAAGTATACATTTGTGGTTTCCCGAGGAAAGACCCTTGACAAGCAGTGTCTTAAATAGTATTGCCACTATGTAGGGAATCGCCAATTTATCTTCATTTGAGCCAGATGGAAACTATGCAGATTTGATCAAAATTGGCAGCACATGCCTTAACTAAATCCAAAATCAGGCAGTATACTTATTGAAGAAGGACTGCGTTGCAAGATTTTACATTTTATCGAAATTAATACAACTACATGTTAACAACCTAGAAAAGTCAGAAGTATACATTTGTGGTTTCCCGAGGAAAGACCCTTGACAAGCAGTGTCTTAAATAGTATTGCCACTATGTAGGGAATCGCCAATTTATCTTCATTTGAGCCAGATGGAAACTATGCAGATTTGATCAAAATTGGCAGCACATGCCTTAACTAAATCCAAAATCAGGCAGTATACTTATTGAAGAAGGACTGCGTTGCAAGATTTTACATTTTATCGAAATTAATACAACTACATGTTAACAACCTAGAAAAGTCAGAAGTATACATTTGTGGTTTCCCGAGGAAAGACCCTTGACAAGCAGTGTCTTAAATAGTATTGCCACTATGTAGGGAATCGCCAATTTATCTTCATTTGAGCCAGATGGAAACTATGCAGATTTGATCAAAATTGGCAGCACATGCCTTAACTAAATCCAAAATCAGGCAGTATACTTATTGAAGAAGGACTGCGTTGCAAGATTTTACATTTTATCGAAATTAGTACAACTACATGTTAACAGCCTAGAAAAGTTAGAAGTATATTTGTAGTGTCCCGAGGAAAGACCCTTGACAAGCAGTGTCTTAAATAGTATTGCCACTATGTAGGGAATCGCCAATTTATCTTCATTTGAGCCAGATGGAAACTATGCAGATTTGATCAAAATTGGCAGCACATGCCTTAACTAAATCCAAAATCAGGCAGTATACTTATTGAAGAAGGACTGCGTTGCAAGATTTTACATTTTATCGAAATTAGTACAACTACATGTTAACAGCCTAGAAAAGTTAGAAGTATATTTGTAGTGTCCTGAGGAAACTATCTTGTTTTCTTCAACCTTAATGAAATAAGTAATGTGTAAGCTTTGAAACTAATCGTCACATGCCTTAACTAAATCCAAAATCAGGCAGTATACTTATTGAAGAAGGACTGCGTTGCAAGATTTTACATTTTATCGAAATTAGTATAGCTACATGTTAACAGCTTAGAAAAGTGAGAAGTAGATTTGTGGTGTCCCGAGGAAACTATCTTATTTTCTTCAACCATTAATGAAATAAGTAATGTATAAGCTTTGAAACTAATCGTCTTTTGTGATGAAATACGGAAAGACACTAATGTCTGACCCACATTTAGAACTTAGGCTAGGATGTGAAGGAATGCATTTACTCTTCTTTTATTTAAAAAAATTGAGTTATGGTCAATTCACGCAGTTGAACAATATGAGATTATTTTTTTGTAAGTCCATACGTGTCTAAATGAGGTTGCACACAAAGACAAGACCCATGATGCTTAATTTCAATTATGCCGTTATGTTTTCAAAACCATGAGTCTTTTCTTGCAAATAACCACGATGATTAACGTCTCTCCTTTTAAATTATTCCCATATTTTTGATGATGAACGAAAGAGCACATAAATTATAGCAATGCAAGAGCACTTTCACCAAAAGCGAGAGGACGGAAATGACAAAGGAGCAGAAACTTTAATTTTTTATTTTTTTCTTCCTCATCTTCTGCCTGCTATTATTTTCATAAAATTCCTCTTCCTCCCCTTATTCCTCTTTTCCTTCTTCTTATTTTGTATTACTATCCCACAACCTACCGGACTAAACAAAGGCGTATTTGGGCCTCAAAGAAACTCTCCTCGCGAAAAAGAGCAATAGCTCATTGACAACGAGAGCATTGCGAGTTCACGCCTCGCTCCATGGCGCCTTCAATTTTTTAGACGCAACACGGACATCCATCGAGTACGAATAGTTGTATCTCTGCGCCGTCATCAACGCGTGTCCCTCCTTCGCCGTATTTCTTAATATTGTGACGATCTCGTTCGTCTTATTTGTAGTGTAATACTTCAAGAGCTGTGTCACGAACACAGCCGAAGATAAGTTAATCCAAATGTTACAATTCTTTATATCTGGGGATATCCATCAAGCACTAATAATTGTATCTGCACTACCATCAACGCGCGTTGAGGTGTCTCTTTTACTGAAATTTGAGAGAGGTCAAGGTTACCTTATTGCTTAAAATATACTATGTATTCAACTCAATAATACTTCCTTTTCTGGAGGGGGGTGTGGCGAGGAAAAGCGAGAGCTCGTACGACCCTGATCGTCAGAAAGCAAGCCTTCCGGAAAGGATCGAGCTTCAGCAGATCAAGCCACAAATTTTGGGTGCCAGATGCTCGTCGGGACGCCTGGGTTCGGGCGCCNGGGGGGGGGGGGGGGGGGGGGGGGCAATCATAGGAGTTTTCTGATGCGTTGTAGAGTGCAAGTCTAAAACTTGGCATTTTGCAAAAAATTGTGTCGTGTCAAGGATTTTTTTTTAAATTTCTTTCTTATGATCACACTGAGACATCTTATTCTCAAATTGACCTGCCTCTCTCAGTTGGGGAGGCACATGAGGTGGCGGATAAGGAGGAGGGGCGAGAAAGCGCCAGAATGTTATCAAAAAGGTGGAAATTTCATAAAAGAATAATTCTAACCTGCGATAACATAGGAAGAACATAGATAATACCTTAAAAATTATTCAAATCATGTATTTAAACACCGGTCAAATTGGGA